AAACAAACAAACAAAAAGGCTCGATCTCCTCTGCTTCAAGACCAAAACTGTATCAATAGAAGTGGTGAAATATTAGTATTGCACAACTTCAGAGACCAGCCAGCGACTATTGTGTGGAAAACAGATCACCTAAACACAGTATTTTAAATTCAATACACACGAGGGAGCAACCTCAGCTTCACATCTGCCAACTAACTGCAGAAAGAAAAAAACTAAACTAAACCAAAAACAACCTAACATGACCATTACATATTTGATTCACACATTAGTAAAATAGTATAATAGATTTGTTGATAATGTCACAAGTTATTGTACACATCAAATAATATACCAAAATCTGACTCTGTAGGTTAAACAAAAAGCTTTTTTTTTTCTCTTCTTTTTTTTCCTCCATCGATAAATCAATACAAACTGGTAAAAACAGGGATAAAAACCAGCCAGATCATCTCAACATGCAAGAAAAGAAAAAGACTTCACATTTAAAAACAAATCCATTTTGATTGTTGTACAGCTTGGGAAGTGGTGAGAAAACAGGGAAGGACTAATCCAGCAACATGTACTTAAAAATACACATTGTACAGTGAAAGAAGTTGTAACAGCTGCAACACAATGTCTCCTCTGCCTAATAAGCCAGACACCATCTTTAAGAGAAAAACAAAAACAAACAAAACAACAACAACAACAAAAAAAAAAAGTTAAAAAAAAAAAAAAAGTTCCAAGATGTTGCAACTACCAACTGGGTTGTTGTTGTCCATTTCTAGAATTCTTTGTTTTGTGAATTTGCATAATTAAAAAGGGCATACCTCTTCTTTGAACAGCTTCTACAAAATTGAGGCGTTCCCAAAGTTCTTGTTTGTAAATACCTAGAAAATGCATATTTACAAGTATGTGTTCTCTGCAAAGTCAAAAAATCTGGACCTTTGAGCTAGAATGTGACAAAAATGAAACCATACCGTGTATGAAGCTCTCTGCTGAAAACAAAGTTATTAGCAGTGGGGTTCTGAGGAAGTGACCTTTAGAGAGATTTATGAGGGATTAACTACCATGTGGAAGCCAAGAAACAGCAGGACGATTTATTATTTTTAGCAAATTGCAGATGGGGCAGTGATGTGTTAACAATTCATGAATTACATGACAGGACTGAGCGCTGGACCACTGTTGTCACAATTGCTTTGCCGCTTTTTTTTTTTTTTTTTGGTTAAATAAAATAGGCAGATACAGTGTGCGAGCATCTTTTTATACTTCATTTCCACATGACTCAAATCAGCTGGGTTTCAAGTAAAATTCATGTGCACGTACGTGTGTCTTCCTGTTGTGTGCCAACTCCTTTTGAGTAACTCAGCGGCATGATTCATCCTGTAATTTATTAAGATGTTACAAATATAGAAAAATGTTGTCGTAGTGAAATGCAAAGCACGAGCAGAGCAATTTCAGTTAGATTAAAGAGAATGAAACGTGTCTACTGCAGTAGCGTTAATATAGCTAATCTGAATAAAAAGGTTCTGTGAACCACGAGGAGGAAACCCAATATTTCCGATTCATTCTTTATATTCACACCCTACAAGCAAAACAGTCAAAGGTTTCTGAACAGCGAGTTCTATGATACTCTTCATTTTTCTTTTCAGCAGTTTTAAAAGGTTGATATTACATACTCTGAATTTCCAAAATACCCAGCTCATGGAAAAGCTGCTGACTTTGAGCAGGACTGGAAATGATCAATGACCAATGTTTGCGACAAAACAACAAAAGAAGTAAGTAATATTTATTCCTAAGGACTTCAAAACCTTTGGACATTCTGGCCTAAAACTAAGTGGCAAGAAACTGGCAAATCATCTGAGATCAGGTTAACATAACGGGTCTATCATCAACTTTGGGCAATTTTCTATTCATTGTTATTATAAAGAAAATAAAGAAGCATATATATATATATATTTAAAAAAAAGTTGTCACACCTACAACATTTCAGGGTGTTTACTCTTAAGTTCCAACATACGTAAGACCAATAATTTAGTGTGTTCAAAAACATCTGACTGCAATTCTAGATCTTCTCAGTTTGCCTGTTAGACACACTACTCTGACCTCACTGTCCTTTCTTCACTTACACAAGCCTTCAGAGTACTGCAACCTTTTCAAACAAAACAACACAATAAAAACAGAACTCTGCCCAATAGCAAAACACAAACAAACAAACCATTTCACTCCAGTAATTATACTGAAACAATGTCATACTGTTGGACAAGAGTTGCAAAGTAAGTCCACGATGCAATGACGGTCTTAAACAAAGAATAAAATAAAATAAAACCAACAACAACAAAGAATTCATGTAACTGCGTGTCAGCCACAAGCAAAGCAGTCTAGGATAATCTTATCACTGAAAAGGATGGTGTTCTCTGATCTTTAACGCAAAGAGAGGAGGAATGAAACAGTTGTTGCTGCTTTGATGTTGAAGCTGGTAAAAGCTAAAATATGCAATCGATATTTGTAATTTTTCCCCCATAAATAATCACATTTTCTACTAAAAACGACTGAAGATGATTCCCAGGTAAGGATGTCTAAGAATTAAAGATCAGAAGCTAAAAACAGGAAAAACAAAACTTTAAAACTCATATTGCAAATCTAGCATGATACAGGAATTTAAGGACATGTCTGTGGCATACGATTCAGTCTTTTATTTTTTCTTTATATGTACATATTAGAGCAAAATTTATCTACTTCTATACACTGTTCCATGTAGTTTCTGTGTCAGTTGACCACTTAGCTTATGTCCATTACATCTACAGTAGTATGAAAATCAATAAGTAATGTCCACTCGAAACTGAGGAATAAAAAATAATAAAAACATACTTATTTCGCAAAACAACTTCAATAAGGAAAAATACAAGCGGGAGCCAAGTGGTCAACCAACAGACACCATTGTTTTTGAGCTTTTTTTGTTTTTTTATGTTTGTTTTTTGCTTTTTTTTTTTTTTTTTAGCATTACGTACATATACAAGTGTAGATAATATAAGTATATATTCATATATACATAATGAGTATGTATATATACCAGTAATGCATTCATTATATATACTTATTTTCTTCACAGATATGTGAAATAGGAGGAAAAAAAATGACTGTTAAAAATAAAAAGTTTAAATGAAACAAAATGCATAAAACCAACCTACTGATAGAAACAACTTGTAAATGCACTTTGCACAATTTTTGTGTTTTTAGAAATGATTTTACCTTTTTTATAATTTTCTTTTTTATTTGTTTTTTTTGTTTGTTTTTTTAAATTATTACTTATTCACTTATGTGGGAGAAGTGGGAGAAGTGACACTCATTTAAAATAGGAATAGTACCCATTGCTACCATTTGAACTTCCTATACTCAGCTCTTGTAGGAGGGAGAGGGGGTCGCTATTCTTCTTGACCTGTTCAGGCCGAACTGCCCGGGGCTTAGGTGGAGCGCGAAGAGCGCTCGCGTAGGACATGGTAGGCTGTTTGCCTAAATTTGGAGCCCCCTCGCTGGGCTCGGTGGGAGGCTGAGGCTGCTGCTGCTTGTTGTTGGGCATGAGAGGAGGAAACTGATGCTGAAGGGAGTTGAGGGAGTGTGGATGTGTCTGCTGTGTTCCTGTGGCTTCTGCCTTTGCATGCTCCTCTGCCTGACGAAGGGCCTTGGAAGCTGTCATATGGGAAGGCAGCCAAAGGTTATGAGAGGTGAATGAGACACGGACACAGAATTTAGCATATATAATAAACAACTATCTCAAAACAATCCAAATAATCAAGTGAAGAGGAAATTGGGCTTGAAAACAGAAAGATTTACCTAGAAGGTCCCGATGCTGAGCGAGCGTGCCGGCTCCGTTACATGGAATGTTCTGAAACGGACCCGGACCGCCTCCATTACTTGGCCAGAGGTGGTCATGTGAAGGATAGCTGTAGGGGGCGTGTGGGTGTTGATGATGCTGTATGTGAGGATGAGGGTGGTCCTGGGTATCTGATGCACAAGGCTGGGATTGCTGTGACAGGGTATTGTGGGTGTTGGCTGGAGATGATTCATCTGGGTAGGTGGACGAGATACGGCGCTGATAAAGAGGCCGCCCTGGACCTCTGGGTTCATACTGTAAACACAGATACAAAAACAAGGTCAGAAGGTGATATATAGTGACTACAAAGAGTATTCAATTGGTTTAAATTCCCAGTGACTGACAACAAAGTGAATGTATGCTCTCAGTGTTGTAATAAGAGAGAACAACCTTTTCCAGACCTTGCTTAGTTTAGCTACTTCTTGTAGAACAGCATTACAGTAACACATCTTCCATATTGATTTTTATTTTAATTTGTTTGTAAGTTAAAATTTGGGTGACTTAAAAACAAAACTTTAAGCCCACAATTATCCACCATTGTCTGTTGGTGTATTATAATCCGGAGCTGTTTGAAATCCCTACTTTAAGAAAGCAGCGAGCAGTAAGAGTGAAACAGCGTTTCAGTTAATAACTTGATTTGGCTGAATACTGGCTTACCATTAATATGACCATATGGTTAATTAGCATTACATAATGTTCTTACTAATTAATTTCCCAAATAGTATTATTTATGATATTTACACCAAGCAACTACCTCTGGTACTTCAAGTTTGAGTGTATCCTTAAAGAATCCAATGTTAAAATGCTTAGAGCCTGAGGCAATACAATTTTTTTTCTTCTCTAGGCATTAATTTCCAACATTAAAACAACTGCACAGATTTTCGTTTAATAAGTCATCTATCTGGATACTAGAAGTTGGAGTAGGACTGATCTGATGACAAGTGATCTGACAGAAGCAGCTGTAGCCCCACAGCTGTCTGCTGGGCATCACCGCCCATAATTGGAGTAACTGGATGAACGGGATCTTTGTGCCTTCACTTTTAGCTGTGCCCCCTTAACTTTGTTGCTTTGGACGAATAACCTTAGCATAGAGATGCTACTTCAGGCAGTTCAGACTCATTGCTAATTTCACTGAAATATTATTGAATACCACATTAATGAAGAGCCCTTACCTCATCTACATTGTGATGTGCTGTGGCTGCTGATGTTCTGGGGGATAATGGGTGGTAGGGCTCCTGATCTGGACCTTGATTTTGTTGTTGTTGTTGTTGTTGCTGCTGCTGCTGTTGTTGCTGCTGCTGCTGCTGCTGCTGCTGGTGGTGCTGATGGTGAAGCTGCATCAGGTGAACCTGCTCCTGCCTGCTAGGGTGAGCCATGATGGGCAGTCCATAAGGAAGGCCGTGGCCCTGATTCCCCATCAGAGGGTTCTGCTGTGGTGGGCTCACTGATGTAGCTCCACCATGGGGCCACTGGGCCTCTTGCAGAAGGTATTTGACCTGGGCAGGAGGGGGGCTGGCAGATTGAGCTGGTGGCTGATGTGGAAAGCTACCAGTATTGTACAGGGGATTCCCTGGGTGCTGCTGCAGACCTTGGCTGTTAAGAAGGTTTTCATTCAGTAGATCCCGACCTGTGTCATGGGGGTAGAGTCCTGATGGAAAAGGGCCAGCTTGATTGGAAATGGCACCTAAAGAGGATGAAGGGTCACCCGAGCCACGGGGCTGGGACTGGCGATACTGGAGGAGGCGAGACTGAGGTGGGGGCTGCATCTCAACTGCTTCCCTGGGCTCTGGCTGTTCCTGTGGAGCCATCTCTCTCAAGAGACCTGGATACCTAGAAATGAAAATTGTTTACTTTTTTATTTTTTTGAACTATGTATTTTGTTTTAAAACAAAAGAAAAAAAACTAATTGTGCTTAACATATGATATAAAAAAAAGTACAAGTCCAATATTTAACCTATAATATTTCTATGAGATCAAGTTAGTAGACCGTTACAAATGACTATAAAACATACTAGTGCCCAGTCTAACCTGCTGAAAGTTGGCCCGGTCGAGGCAGAAGGAACAGCTTCATCATCCAGATTGGAACTAAGGCCCCAGTTACCTGCCCGAAGCAGCTGATGGGGAAAGCGAGCCATGTTGGATTGAGCAAGGTGGGCAAGCTGTTGGGGCAGAGGAAAGGCAACACTGGCCTGGATGAAAGGGCTTGCTGCCTCCCCCCACTGGCCCAGCCTAGCTGCCTGCTGCTGCTGCTGGCTAAGGGCCTCTAGAGCCAAGGGTCCCTGAAGATCTGAAAGGGCAATGGTCTGGTTAGTTTTTGGAGTCATTCATGTATTCTGCATAATTATATGAGCTGCAGGGTTAGTATACACAGCATGGTTAAGAATACCTTTAAGTAGATTCTCTATGAATAAATATTCAATATATTAAATGTACTGCAAAATCAAATATTTACCCATTCATATTTTTAAACATATGAAAGCTGCACATTCTAATCCAAAAAAGGAATGTGAAATTTGACTATTTGACAAACAATCTCCTCACATCTCAACCATGGAGATTGTTGCTTTAAAAGTTCAGAGAAAGTTTTCTTTGAGAAGAACGGAACCAGTCTGATTGAACGTGCAAGCACCTTTCAATCCTGAGCAGGATACTATACAAACTTCAACATCTGCATAAGCAGAACCATCTCTGAATACATGACTACCAACTTCAGAATCTCTTGAAAAAATGTCTATATGAAAAAAAAAGAGATGAATTAAATCCCTCAGACTCAAATTAAATGAAAATTCTAAGTAGAAATAATAAGAGGCTAATTTTCCATCATCATCAGATTCAGCTCCCTCCTTTGTAACACAATTCATTAGCTAACTAAAATTAAATTACTAGTAAATATAGTGTTTACTCACCCAAACCATCTCCTGGGTTTCCATCCTGTCCCTCATCCCCAAAGCTGCTGACCCTGTTATGCTGTGACAGGCCTGAGTGGTGGCCTCCTGGGTGGCCCATTGGAGTCCTAACAGAGCTACTCATCTCCTCTACTCCTCCAGAATCTGGCCCATTCAAAGTCGGGGACTGGACAGGTCTGTGAGTTGGTATAGGGCCACTGAAAAAAGACGCATTATGGCTTCCACCAGTGTAGGCAGGACTGAGCTGCTGTTGCTGCTGCTGATTTTGCTGGGCCATCCCTGGGTGTTGAGGCTGGCTAACCCGATAAGGAAGCCTAGTGACTGAATACTGCTGGGGGAAGGTTCTTCCACTGATTGGATTTGAAGGAAAGGGTGTACTAGGTGGCGCAAGTTGGAAATTAAGAGGTCTTTGGGCAGCTGAGGGGTCTTTTCGGTGGAGCAGAGGATTGGGAAATCCAACTAGGCTTTCTGTCTGTGAATCCAGACTTCGACTTTGGCCTGAGTCTAAATCTCCCTAGACAAAAAAAAAAGGATAAACACTGTTATAAAAACACCATAAGTTGTACAAGGAATTTATCACTGCTTTTGCAAAATATGTTGTGGGTTTGGGTACAAATAAAACAGACAAATTACTTTTAACCCAAAAAAGAAACATTTAAATGTCAACAACTTGCCTGTTTTTCCTTCATGTCTGTGTTTTTTCTTTCTGGTGTTTGAAGATGATTCTGCTCTGACTTTGAACATCCTTCTAATTTACCTAAGACGTCAAAAACAAAACAAATTAAAAAGACTTACACTGCCATTTCCACATTGCTAGATGAAGGCATAAAATTGGATTAGAGTTTTTAACTGATCTCTTGATTTAGAAATAGAAAGTCAAGGCAAACCATTTCTGATGGGGTCAGAAGGCTCTTTGTCTGGGCTCGGCTGGGCTAGTCCTAGAGGAGAGGGGTGTGCTACCCCACTATAAGGAATGGGGGAGCCTCTATTTGGTGGCTGCAGCAGATTAAAGTTGTAAGCCATGGCTGCTGGATGACCCATGATGCGAGGGTCCACAGCAAAGCGATTCTGGTAACCTGGCCAGGGCAACTTAGGGAGAAGAAAAAAAATACATTTCAATAAAATGTTTTCCTGTGGTACACAGAAATCAGGCAGGGGAGCTATCGTTATTTTTAATACTATCATTGTGACCATAATAACTGATCAACTTATTTGAAATAGTAAGGACATACATTTACAGATATCTGCAGTGCGTTTTTTTTACACTTTTCTAAAAGAAGCAAACAGTTTTATAGGTTCCTTTTTAAAATACAATATTACACACACACACCACACCAGTGAACTTACATGCAGGGGCATGGGCATGACCATGTTTCCACCATATACAGCTGGAACGTAGAGGATACTGGCACCTGTATGCGGATCTATCCTCTGCACAGGACTAGGTGACTTGCCCATACCAGCTGGTGTGCCACCCAAAGGTGGTGTGAATGCCCGAATAGGGTTCCCCATCAACACTGCTGGGTTTGGTTGGACTGCAAAGAAGTAAAATTGGTAAATTACTTTACTGTTATGACATTATTGTTGTCAGATTCAAAAGTAAATCTGTAGTAATAATAATAATAATATTAAGTAAATCTGTGGGAGCATTTCTTAAATAATATTCATTTTCTAGATTCTGGTTCTAAATTATAGCTATTTAGGCTTAAACAAAGACAGTGCTTAACAAGTTTATTATATCACCTGTCACTATAACAGAAAAAATGATTTAGAAAGCTGTCAAATATGGGTTTTAGGGCTGCCACGATTAGTC